GCAAAAACAAATCTTAATTAAACGTTGAAATAAGTCAAGATGCAGAGAAAATCTTTCCATTATTTATTCTAGTGATGACAATTAAATAAATTACCTGAAGCATAAAAAATTTTTTAACATTTTTCTCAATAAAGAAACTGAAAAATATTATAAGTAAATACGTAAAATTGAATTCAAAATTTTTCCCGAAGGTAAGTGTGATAACTTTTTCTACTATTGAAAAAAATTTCATATTTTAGAGCGAACATGTAGGTCAATTTGCCTTGCAATAAAATATTTCAATTTTTATTTTTTTAGTTGTACTAAAATGGCAGCAATCTTTAGTAATGTATGAAATAAAATACTCAAATTTTTGTAGATTTTAACTGAAGTCCACAATTGTTCATCCAATTAATGGTAAAAACCTCATTCCTATTTTATATGTTACAAATTATCTATTCAATTGATAAAATACTTTTAAACATATCTGAAGATTAAATTTCATAACACAATAATGGAACGTGAGTGCAAATAATGATACCTATAAAAATTTTTATATCTCTTCTTCCGCGATGAAATACACATGTATATAATATAACATGAACTGATATCATATACAATACATACTATGAAGATAGATGTTTCACTAGTTCGAATAAAAAATAAAAAAAATTTAATCGCTCAATTAATCAACTAAATGCTTATTCAGGATTTTCAATATTGGAGCAGAATTTCAGGTATTCATATTAATAACCTGTTAATTTGATACACAAAAGAATGACTATTGCCAATTGTAATGTAGCGTAATTCATTTTATTTTGCCGCTTAAACAAATCTTTCTTTTCATTCTTAAAAAATCTTACTCTGCATGAAAAGAGAAATGAGCTATATAATGCATCAGCTCTTTACCTGCTGATAAAAATGCAGTAATAAGCAGGACTTAAAATTCCAGTGCAATGCACTACAAGAGTTGGGTCCTGATGGAGAAACCTGTATATAAGATTGCTCTCTCTTTGAATCTTGTCCACGTCGATCGGTCCGCCCAATTGCGGTCTCGACGTGGATGTCGATGTACTCCTGATTCTCTTGAGACAACGTTGTGTACACATAAACGTTGAATACATGCATGGAGTCACCCACAGAAGTTAGATCGTTAGACAAAAGTCAACACGAAACCAAAAAATTCTATCAATACTTAAAAACGTTATTGTATTTGGTATATTAAACCGACTACACCTTGTACATATGTGAAGTGAATGGAAAAAGCACTTGCCTCTTTGGAGGTTTCGTGACGTTAAGTCAGTATGTATGTGTCTATGAGAAGTCTTGAAGGAAAGCGATGAACAGAAAGGGGAATAAAAATGATAAGAGAAAGAAAAGGAAGAATTATTACACTCACACGTTGATATATAGAAATGTAATAAATTGTTGATAATTAAAAACAGTTATAAGTCACTCACATTACTCGTTTTTGTCTATTTAGTAAATTTAACTTAAAAATTTTCGTCTTCAATCAAACATTAAGCTGTTTATACACTCACGTGTTTATTTAAAAATAAAATAACTACACACAAATATCAATAACTTATAAACTATCAGTCACTAACTTGCCACAGGTGAACATCGCGAATATCTTCGTACGTATGTCCGTGCTAACAGCACCAGCAACTTCAACACCATCACCAAGCGACAGTGAGCCTTCTCCACTGCACCGAAAGGTTCAACTATTTTAGATGTTGACACCTGTTTACCGTTCGCGGCAGCACCGAGCTCATAAATGCTTCACTACACGGTTAACTGAAGATGCTTTTGTATGCTATGTCATTTTGTGTTGGTTTGTTGGTTAAATACGAAAGAGAATGTATGGGAAAGATTATTGATAAGCCATGAGTTGAACAGAATCATTAATAAGTAACTCGCCATTCAGATCTACTAGATCTAGAATTGACTTTCAACGACATCTACTGGAATGCAGTTAAAAGTCAGTTGAATTTAAATTTTCGCGCTAAAACTTTTGAAATAATTGAAAACTGATTTTAATTATTAATTAATTTCAAATTAATATTGATATTCACTCTATCAATGAAAATGATATAATTATCAATAAAATTACATTGGACCAATATATTTTGGGTTTTTTTATTGTAAGAGCAATCATTTTAAATTAATTAAAAAATTCTTCTGCAATTACAATAAACATTATTTAAATTAAAACTCATTTGTAACAATTAATTTTATAAATTATTATTTATACATTGATCATTCTTATTCCAAAACAATATACCTCGTGTTCACTTGATGGTTGATAATATAAAGCATAATAATAAAAAACGATCATTTAAAATTCATTTCTACTTTTGTTCATTATTTAATGTTATTGTTAATTCAACGATAAAGTTGATAGATCGAGTCATATTTGCACAAGAATTCATATCACAGGTACAATATGTGTATAATGAGAGCGAAAAGATCTAATGTAATTCTACTTTTTTTGTTAAATGTTAAAGAGAAATGCGTTTAAACAATTTTTATACGTAAAATTGTTTATATTTTTCCTTTTTTAATGATGCATTTAAATATTTATTTATTCATTTTCTAACTATCTTCAATCTATTGAGATTATTAAAGAAAAGTATTAAAAAATTCCAATCATTGGTAATCACGTTGTGCACTTTGACGTTATTTATCTCTTTATTGACTTAATAAATCATTTAATTTATCTTCAATTATTACATTATCATAATTATATATTATAAAATTAATACAAAACACACCACAATTCCCACGTTTTCTTGCCGACTTTAATCATTAAAGTATGTATTCATCAACAACTATAAAAATGTCTTACTATCTTTTTTCCTTTAATTTCACTCTTATACTGCTTACTGTAAATACAATAGAAGTACAATTTCATCTCATTTATCAATTTCACTCTTATTTTCATGTAAATTCTTCTTCTGGAGTGAACTCGAGTAAGTCTAAACGTAACCCTGATAATTTACTGCTACGATTATGTTTCAAGTAAATTTATTATTCACAGGGCAAATTAAATGCATATACTGTTAAAAATTTATCTTATAAATTTACAGTGAGCTTACAAAAGCTTATGTATAAAATTAAACAAACTTTTTGGTTCTAAATTCAATTAATGGTCACATATTTTTTTGCTCTTATAAATTATTTACGATATGACTTTGAATTTAATTTTTTTTTCTATTTATTTATAACTCTTTACAATTCCAAATAAAATATTAAGCAATTTCATCATGATAGTTACTTTAAATTGATCTTTTTTATTAAGATCCTTTATCTTAATAACATAAAATAATTTGTATACTGTTTTTTCACACTTACAGTTTATGGCAAAAATTACAATAATTATTTCATACATTTTAATTAATTATTTATGAAATGAAAAATATAGGCATTTAATATGAATTTATTTATAGCAGTGGCTGATACCACCAATATTTAAAAGTAGTGAATTGATACTTTTATGAAAATTTTAAATTTTCTTTATAATTTCAAATTTAGAAAATGAGCAAACAGAAAAATATACGTTCTTAAAAAATAATATTACATGGGTATATAATGTTGATAAAATGAACTACCAAATACAAATGAAATTTGAAATTTTTATCTAATTTTTCTTATATTGCATTAAAAATATAGTAAATTTACAACTATTTTTAACAGCACATGTGAAAATTGACATTTAATTAAGAATTAATAGTAGTGTTTAATTTTTGTCTTAGATTGATCCCATATATGCGTCTTTAAGTTAATTATTCTATTGAAATTTCATCGATTACAAACCTTAATTACAATTTATGACGCTTGTGAGTGTAAATTTTCTTCTGCAGCACTTGATTTTAAATTATTAATTATAATAACTATCAATTAACTAGTAATCAATAATTACATATGTGAAATTTTCAATTATTCCACAATACTTGGCGGATATTGCAATTTTTCTAAACGATAGAGATGATGATGATGGTCTCTATCGTGATTAAGAAAAGACTCGACGAGAAAGGAGAACACCCGATAACGATCCTGAGTATGTCCCTGAGAGGGGTTCGCACGTTTTACTCTGAACCATTGTCACTTTGAATGCTTTGAAAAGATTCACTGACGCGTCTGGGCAAACATCGAGATTGTATCCTCTCATCCGCTTTCTCTTTTCTTTTCTCGTGATTTTGTTTTATAACCACTTTCATTGAATTACTAATTACATTGAAATTCTGGTCACACTCGATTGATTATTTTTTTATACTTATGCAATTTTTTCCTCTTTAAATCTCTAAAGAATATCGAAGACCAGCTTCGTTTTTATTTATTTATTCTAATTATTTAATAGAGCAAATTAAATAAAATTTTCATTTATTATCAACATTTTTGTGTTGAGATCTGATTATTCATCTACTTTAAGAAAAGTTAATATTATTAATTATATTGATTTTCGATATATAATTTTTCATAAATTCAACTACAATTTGTTTATAAATCTAATTAATTAAGCGATTTTTCATAAAGTTTGATTCATTCTTTCATTCTTGAATGTCGAACAGAAATCCAGTGACAAATTGTAGTATTTAATATTACTTACAATTATCAATATACTATTATTATATATATATATATTTCTAATAGAGTATATAGCAGTATCAATGATAGATTTTAAATAAGTACAACGTTTTTTCTATTAATTCGCTAATAAAAACTTAATTCATGGATCTTGGATTTAAATTTTCTTTCAATAGAATTCGTAATTGATGCTATTATTGAAAGAATTTTTTCATCAGATCTTTTTAACGAAAAAATTTAATATTTAGTATTTAATTTATTTTCTCTGGTTTAGGGAAATCGTACGGCTTTGTTCATCCAGTGAACACATGAGTATTTAAAATGTTTTATTAACTATTTAAATACAATTTGAACTACGGTTAAAATTAAGTCTATTTAGTTTTCTAAATTTATTCTTTTTTTTTTATACAACTTTCATATCTATCTAACATGATATTTTTTTTTTTTAATAACAAAGAATATTATTCAGATAATTTTGTTTGTCCTATCATTTTTAAATTTAAATTTTCTATAATTTTTTTGTATTTATATTATCATACACACTTTTTTTTAATACCTTCATTATCTGTCTTTTTGTGACAAATTCGTTGAACGAGAAAGAAATGGTCCGATATTCTAGGACTGAGTAGCCACCATTTTAATCCTCTAAAATATGAATGTTATCTTTTAACTCATTTATATAAAATTTGTGGCTTCTACTAGTGATAATGCCTACAAGTATTAATAAAAATTTATCATACTCCTTAATTTTGTATAAAAGTACGTGATGCAATGAATAATGAAATCTAGTAGGAATGTATATTTATTCAATTTCAAGAAAACAATTCGTCTACAACTTGTTAATAATTAAAAAAAAAAATAGTTTACCCATTAAATTGAATTATTTGTACCTGAATTGTTCTCTTGAAACATTTACCGAATCAATTGTAGTATTTAAACCAGTTGGGAGCTATTTAATAATGAATTCAAGTATCAAATAGCTAGCACAGTGAGATAGTTAAAGTCCTCCTATGTCTCAGAGGGCTAATCGTTTCATATAAATACTTAAATGGGTGCTTTAAACACTCGTAGTAATTTGTTCGATGACAGTTACATCACGATAACGTCTTGGTCTTGGTCTATATGTTCCTTCTTGATAGCTTAGACCCTCAGGAACACTTTTGCTGGATCTTAGAGTGGTGTGGTAAGGCCCAGAATGGCAGTAGTGTTCCATTGAATGAGGGCAAACACGCTCTGTTGGTTCAGGAAGATGTTGATGATGTTGATGAGGTCGAACATCTTGCTCAGCATCTAGAGGTGTGTGTAATGACTGAGACTTTGGTAATCTCATTCTTGGTGGTGGCGGACAGTGACAAGGTGTGGGAAACGGTTGGCTCAAATGTGACAACTGTGATCCTCGTAATATTGGTGATGATGGTTGTCTTCCCCAGCCAACCAAAAACAGTAAGGCAGCACCACACAAGGAACTAAGAGTGCAAGCGTAATAACCAATTCGTGGAGCACTTTCATTCATGTAACCTGGAAAAAAATACAAAAAAGATGAAATCAAATAATAAGAAAGAAATAGTAAAAGCAATCGATTCTTAATTAAATTATTTAGTTGATTAACTTGTTCCATTGTTTTTTCTGTCGTTTTCAACCAAGTAACTATTTAATTAGAGAGATCGTAACTACAATTAATGAAAAGAAAACAATTGTCTGTATACTTTCGCGCGCTTTCGACTAGTCTTGAGTTTTTTTTTACCAAGTACGTGTATTTATTATAACAATTATTTACATTTCAACAGCAAGTTATAAATAAATGAGATGAAAAAACTATGCTAAAGTTTTTTAGGTAGGTTTTTGAACTACACTGATATCACCCTTAATGTTATTTCATTAATTTTTGTAATTAAAAAGAAATCAAAATCTCCAGTAAATTTCTATAGTAACTTTTTATGAATTAAAATGTCAGTAAAATAATAGACTAGAAACTTGTATAAGATATCGAATTAATGGGAAAACTCTCATCCAAAAGTATGAAAAAAGAATCTACTTATCTTCTACAAATTCCAAGTTAAAAGCCAAAACGTGGTCTTAAATCAAAAGTCGTAGGAGTACAATATTTTTTATCTGACAAGTTAATGACTTACAAAGTTTTTTCTAATGAATTAACAATTACTGTTGGCACAAGCAAAACCGAAGACTTGACCGCAAAGTATTGGTCACGCAAAGCCAGTGTGATCCCTGTAGCATTACTGGACTTGTTGCGATTAATTCAGTCTTTTGAGCAAAAAAAAGTCCGTTGGAAGAAAGTAGTTAATCACTTGATAAAATGTATGTATACTGTAGTTATCTTCATTTAAATGAACTTTTTTAGTGTTATATACACAGTAGACGTCTAATTATTTTCCTCTGGGTGTTTTACTACTAGTCTATGTACAGTCTTAAGGAAAAAGAAGTGAAAAAATCAGAAAACAAATCAAAACTTGTGTATCTAAGAGAAAAAAACGTGGAGTAGGTAATAACAGAGGTAATTGGAGCGAAAAAACAATTAATTTATCAGCAAGTAGATTTTTAACTTCTTTTATCACCTTTTTTTATTATTTTCAGATCTAATTTTATGTTTCCTATAAAAGCTTCGAATACGATCCAAGTTATCCAATTAAAAATGTTCTTGTTATGAAAGAACATTTCAAGATATTTTTGTAATATGTAATTAAAGTCAGTATAAAATAAATCTAAAATATGTTAATAATCTTAAAAATTTCTTCTAGATATCTTTCTATATTTTATTTGAATATGAAATATGTTTTGATATTTTTATGCATCAATTTCAATTTCTAATAAGAGTAGATGTTGGCTTGGCTATTTACTTTGAAGATAATTCAAAGAATATTCAATCAAGTTTGTTTTTAATCTTATTTTTATCCATTTATTTACAAATTATAATTTTTACTGTAAATATTTTTCTTTCATATTTTTTGTGAATATTTTATTTTTATTTACCTGTTAGAGGAACTCCAAGTAAAATAGGTAAAGCTTCAGCAGCTTGAACAAGCGCCCAAGCACGCGCGAAATGACGTGTTCGGAGACGTTCTAAAGCTAGCATTTTCAAGGAATAAAGTGCACCACCAAGCGATGCTCCATAGAGGGCAGATGCCAATACCAGTCCATGGTAATCCTCCACGCTTCCAAGTGCTGTTTGAGCTACTGCTGCAAAATTGAAGAGAAAAAGTGTTGTTACTTTTTTTGATGCAAATAAAAAGTGAAGAGGGTTAATTAAAGCAGTTTGATATTGAATTTATTTAGTGAGAAGTTAAATTGTTGTTGTAATAAATCTTTTGTTTTTATTCTTTTATTCATTCCATCTGACGTTGTTTTCACGATTTACAGTAAAAGCTAAATGCATCATCTCCGTTTCTGTATTTAGAGCAGGAAATTACAAATCTCTTCCTCCAACAATCCGAATTTTCATCCTGAATACCAGTAGCTGGCTCAAATGTCGACAAACTTCATCTCTTTACTTGCTTTTCTAGGGTCCGTTAATCTCAAGGAGGATAATGCATTCTCTAGGGAAAACGAAGAAAAAGAAAAATACGTCAAGCTGTTTGTTTAGTTTGCCGCTCTCAAGTGTCCTTTATCCTTCTATCTCTATTGTTTTTACAAAGAGAATCGTTGTCTTCCTGGCGATCTTATATCATGTGTACGAGTGTCACAATCGGATTCCAAGAGTCACAGCGTACAAAAAGTCACTTAGAAACTTGCCCCTGAACTAATCCAGGAAATTCCGTGGAGAAAAAGACCTGATTTTCCATTTACTGTGTTTGTCATCTCCTTTACAGGGTGAGATTACAACACTGGATCGTGTATGTACTAACCAACACCGAGGAGAGCTGCTTGGCAGAGATATTGTCGTGACACGAGACATTGAGCTGAGGGTCGAGCTGTTACTACTCCCCAAGCGGCGCAACCTAAAGCTGCTGCGAGGCCCAAACAGGTTTGCAGAAGTACTAGTTCGTTTTGTTGCAATTTATCCTGATGTCCTTGAACTACCTGCAAATCATCATAACAGTTAATTAATTCTTTTTTCCAATTTTTAACTATAATAAATGTCTACAATTTTTTATAATATGTAAAAATGACTATCAATTTTTAAATGATGATGGATTAGCTAATTGTGATGAAATTTATTACTGCTTTTTAATTTTCGAAAAAATTTAATCTGCTAAAAACAAACTATTACAAACTAAATGAACCATTAAATCACGATTCTAGATAATTAATGTAGAGAAGAAAGCAATAAACAAATAATAGATGTTGTAAATAGAATTATATTACTGGGTAGCAGTATGCCCTCAATTACATAGGGTTTCTAATGGACCATCAAGTTTATAGCTATATAGCGCATACAATACGAAAGTTCGACTGGTTAAGTTATGATCTATAAACCCAAGAGGACGTTCATCAAGTTGAGCGTATCATGGGAATATAGCTAGAACCTCTCTAATTAGATTAATATAAAAAATGGCCACTAATTAACTTGATCAATAAATAAAAACTCGAAATATGAAAAATTTTATATGTACGCCCCTCGAGAGAAAGGCCTGAAATTTTTTTTATCTTTGTTATTTTAATTCTGAATTTCCATATTTCATTTCAATATCTTCTGCATTATTGATCAGACGTTTTTGTAAATTTTAAATAGTCATTTAGCATTTGAAAAACAACATGTCGAAGAGCAAAAATAATTAATTGGTTAAAAGCTTTAGTAAATTTAATAAATTAAAAATAAATCTAATTTAGATTATCATTTTAATAAATACTTACAATATAAAAAGCTGGTGTATAAAGACCAAAAGCAGCAGCTCCAGCAGCAAGCATCAACATTCTGACAGGCCTGCTTCCAAGTGGACTGAGATCTACCAAAGGCTGCCGTGGTGAGTTGGAATTCGCATGTTTTTCCTTTACTTTAGGACGTTGACTTTTCAGATGTAGTATAGCTCTACGTTGTGGGTGATATAGCGATGCACTCCTGTAGATGAGTCCGAGAAAAAAAGCTAAGGATAGTGCACCCGTGATAGTTTGAAGTCCCAACTTCCAGCCAAGTTTTCTGAAATTAATATTGACAATTTTTAAAATAAATTCATGTTTCAATTTTTTATTTCCAAGTAAACTATCAATATTCATCATCAGATTGATAATCTTTATCAATGCAAATGGGTTTTATGATACTTCATTTTATCTCATTTAATGTAGATTATATTTTCATCAATGGAGCTATTTTATCATTCTGTAACTGAACTTCATCATATTTGTGTTGATATTGGTGTTAAATAAAAATTATCATTCTTGATTAACATCATCAGAAATTGAGTATGAATAATATATCCAGAGTTTCCTAAAATTAATAATCTCTTTTTATTAGAAATTCTTTTTTAAATATGTAAATCAAAGCAATAATCGAGAGATGTAGTATTCTAAAAGTTTTCTTATTCTTTCTGTTCCAGCTCAAGAGTTTGAAGCTATTCTGTAAAGATAGAAACGCTTGGAAAATTTTATGAAAAGTATGAAATAGTTTGTTGAAAATATTTTAATTAAGCACTGAAAAGTGAAATAATTAATGCCATTACAGATCCTATACTTTTTGTATTTCATGAAAATAATTATTATTGTATTTTATTTCATTTCAATAATTGGTATGAAATATTATCAATTCGATGATTATTCATCATTCACCATTTTCAATAAAAGGCTGTAATTACTCAGTTATAGAGATACAGTTGTAATCTTTTATTTCATGAATAAGAGATATGTATTGATTACTAGCTTTATGAATTTTAAACAGGTAAACATGTGCATTAATTATAAAATAAAAAAAGGTTTCAAGTTCACCTTTTCAATCTTTGAAACAAACTACACTCCCTAGCACACCATGGTTCATACATTACCATCTGACACTGAATGATGATAGAAAATATTTTCGCAACATTTTAGATAATTATTATGCTTTCAGTATACATATTTTGATGGATTTCCCCTTGTGTTGAGACACAAAATCCATTTGAAAGATAAGAAATTAAATATATACCAGCATATTTATAACTTAATTAATGAAGCTTAAAACATTTGATGTCTACAATTTAAAATAATAAATTTGAATATCTAAATATAATATATTGATTGTTGAAATAAATATGTCAACAGCAATTGAGTAATAATGAAGATGTTAAAATGTTTTTTTTATTAAACGTACTTTTTTTAATTTCGTCTTCTCGAGTATGTTTAGATTGGCTATGATGAAAAAAGTTCATTTCCATCAATCAAAAGTTTTCAGGGAATGTATAAGCGTTTAACCGCAAAATAGAAGAGAAAAACTATCTGTTGTTGGTGGAGTAAGAGCTTTTTTCGTAGCAAAAAAAAGTGTGGGCGGTTGGAAAGAACGCCTGGTAGTTTGAGGTGAGGTTGGAGTTGATGTGCACACGAGTGCTTTTGCGTGGGTGGTTTTCAGTAGTGACTTTTTCCTACATGTATTTGTTCTTTACCTATAAGTATAACATTCGCGACACGATGTGGTGTGTTGTACTACGTCTGACCATTGAAGCCTTTTCTACTGCAGCTCACGTTCGTTTCAATTTTCGTGGATTTCAAAACAGTGAATATAAAAAAAAAGTCAAAGAGCAACACATTTTACTTCAATCTCAGGAAAACTCAGCATATGTTTGGCTTATTCTGAATATAAAACTATTTTTTCTTTTTTTTTGCAGTCGGTTTGATGAATTACTTTGTCTGCCTAGAGTCAAATTTCAGAATCCGTCTGGAAAATGACTGCATCGAATGTTATAGATAAATTCAGTCCATGAACACATTAACGTTCGAATTAGAAACGTAAATGAAGTTAAGACCTCATTTAAAGCAGAAATTTACTGAGCCAATATGAGCTTTTGGTTAAAATGAATAGGTAGGATGGAAGAGAGATGATTAAAGGATCAAGCTCACTAAGGAGACAGGTTTTTAAACCTCTTTGTTATTTCAGGAGTTTAAATTGAGTGTGTGTGTGTGAAGTGTAATTTAATCTCTTCCCATTCAACAATACTTCTAAGTGGTATATTTGCCATTTTGATCATTTAATTTTTGGGTAAGTCAACATCTAAAACTACCTCAAGTGGTAAATAATAAATACCATCTTTAAATTTACATTTATATATCTCTAATGTATGTGCATATTTATTCAGTTCAATTTTTTACTTTCAACTAAAACTGAGAAAATTCACACTATTTCTCGATGTTCTTCACAAAGTCTGGAAAGAAATACTAATATTTATGAATGTTTTGTAGACAACTTTTCAACACAAATTTATTCAAATCAGTTGGTGATAAGTCGTCAAGTTAAACAACATTTTTTAGAGTTTATATAAGAGATTGTTTCAAAAAATTATCTTTTATATTCATTGTGCAATAAATACGACAATAATTGTTTAAAATAAATTTGTTCTTTTTATCTTCAAAAAATATCAATTAATCAGCAGAATCTAAGTGTCCAATCACCAAAGACTTTTAATCACCGGTGCTTTTAGTACGGATCAAGCTACAAAACTCTAAAAAGTTGAGGAACATTAATGATATTGTAGAACAAAAATTCTTTGCTTGTGCTAACTTTTTTAATCTAGTATTTTTCTGCTTGACTGATCCTCTTCATTATTTTATTAAGTTGCACTTGATAACGAAATTTGTTAGATTAAAAAGAAAATACATTATTCTCCTAGATTCAAATTGATGAAATTAGTTCAATTATTGTTAACAAGTTGAATATAATTCAAGAATTTAATTACTTATCTAACTTTTATGTATTCCCTATTGTATGAATATTATTACAACTATCATTGTTTGATATTTTTTTTTCAAGGAATATTAAAAATAAAAAAATGGTATAAAGAAATGATAAATCATCCAACTCATCAGAAAGAACTTATGCTTTTTTGCTCGAATTTGTCAAAACAGTGACATTTCAATTAAATTGGAATTTTCTGATTTATTTATTTCTCTACACTGAGTCAACAAATAAATTTTTCTTCCAATTATTTATTTACATGTTCTACTTTCAGCTAAACTTAGCTCTCGATTTTCAATACTTTTGTACCAATACCAAAGTATTCCAAGAATAGTAAATATGCTTCAACCATGAACCTGAACTCGGTTCAGTTTTCAGGTATTCACAAAGGTTATTTCTAGAATGTTTCAAGTTGGACGTAACACGATTCAGAAAAGGACACATGAAACCTAGTATTACATCGAATGGTTTTACCAGAAGAGCAACTTTGTTTCATAATTATTACTATTCCACAAGTAGCCAAACAGCTCAAGAAGGATGTACAAAATCTAGAGCTGTATCAGTTGGTTTCAGCAGAACACCAACTCTCTATAGTAATTATCATACTTCTCTAGTTGGAGTATCACCTCGGGGTGAGTTGACGAAATTCAGCTCTCTGTCAAAAGACTTTACATCTTTTGATACCAGTATTTAACCACAAAGTTACACTCAAAAGAATCTACACTAAAATATTATTCAATTATTGTGCAATTGCTACACCTTAACTAAGGATAAGAATTGATTTATTACATGTACTTGGTAAGCATCTAATCTTTTTCATTAAATCTTTGAGATTAATTATTATTTTTCTTATTTAAGTAACAATTAATTAGTTTAATCTTTGTTATAAAGGAAGTAACATCTATTTCTAGATCAATAATAATGAGATACATTTCTGCAGATTAGATCCCAAATCCTCTTAGAGTAATCCATTAAAATAATCATATAATCAAAGAACATAAATCTTCATCTGTTGCACATGAATAAATTCTAAACAACGAGAAGATGAAATTACCAAGAACTTTTTTATTGTGAATCTGTAAAAATGATTTTCCTGAATAATTGATGTCTCGTGTCTATTACTAGCCAACATGGATGAAAAACTGTTATGCATGATCTGCCCATCTATCAACTTGTTTCAGAAGGTAAAAAAAAAAAAATGAATGGACTCGTACTGCTGTGGTGAAAGAAGTTTCACTTCATTACATTCAGAGATGATTAAAATTGAAGAATTTATTTGAAAATATCATTTTGGACCAAACAATTTATTCTTACCAAAGAAAATTTGAATTGCAAAGTTTGGTCTTTTATTCATGAAAAGAATTGTCTAGTCATTAACTAACAAACATATCACGTTTATGGAATATTAAGTGAGTCTATCGTTCGATTTCGTGGTAACCCCATACCAGAATGTGTCAAGCGAGATTAAAATGTTTCACGAATCACGTTTTACTGTGCCATAAATAAGCGATGTAGCAAGGGCGTAAACTACAATTGTGTGTCACTACATGAGAAAAAAAACTTTATATAAACTAGCTGTCAAGCATTTCGTTGCTGTCAGGGATTTCGGCTGGTATTTTTCCTTTTTTTTCATTTATTTTTTTTATTTACTTTATAATTTAATTTCAAAAAATTTATTCATTTCCCATGGAAATAATTTAATTACATTCAAGAAGAATTTTTCATTTAAATGAAATGTGAGAACTGCAAAATAAAAAAAAAAAGAGGGAGAAAAACAATTCTGACTAATTTGTCCTACAAATGTCAGCTTTCACAGGCGGTTTCATTTTTTTTAATTATAAGATACGACAATCATGATTTTTTTCCAACGTGCCTCTAGCAAATCTCATTCTATGCTATTCATTTCAATTCTGATTTTACATTATTATCAAGATTTTTTATCTAATGAGACTTTAGTACTTAAAGTATTAACTTAATAACCATCTTACTTTATCAAAACTCAAATTGTTTCTAGAACTAGGTCATTTTCATTGATTATAGGGCTTTGAAATAGTTTTTTATAGAAAATCTGACAAAAAACGTATAACGAAAAAATTTTTTTGACAGTTGATGTCATATAAATTATTCAATAAATCAAAGTGATTGTTACTATTGTATGAAATCCGAATGAAAAATTAACGACGATTAAAAAATTTTTTTAGTAGGCATGGCACTGAAATATAACAGTTGTTCAACTTCGTCGAGTTTGCATAACAATAAAAAATTGTAATTTAAACTACATTGTGAGTAACAAATCCATGAAAAAAATTTTTCTCTCATTTATTTCTGCAATTGAAAATAATAAAAATGTTCCAATAATATGCAATCAATAGTTGAAGAATTTGGTGAAATCATAAAAAATGTCAGTTGTGTTAAATTTATTCAATAATTAATTTAAATCATGTAATCCTACTTTAAAGATTAAATAAGCTTCACAAGAATTAGCATAAATAAATATTTATTGAAACAATGAGCATTAAATTGGACCAATAAAGAAAATAAACAGATATTAACTGAAAATATATGTATTCTAATAAAGTATTCCACATATTTAATTAATAAAAAATTGATTAAAACTTTATTTAACTTAATAGCATGATAATAGAAACAATAAGAAGAGATACTGGTAGAGCTGAATAAAGATAATATTTTAATTAAAATTTCATTGTATCGAAAGAAGATAAATAAATTGAAAAACTCTGACAGAGAAGTAAGATAAGGGCGAAGGAAGTGACAAGTATAGTAACTTACCCAACAGCTTCCTTGTAGAGAACGCTAAAAAGCGCTATCCCAACACCAGTGCCAGCTTGCACTACCATTTCCACGAACTCGCGTCGTTTCTTAAAGTAATGGCCCAACACCAAGCTGGCAGTTTCCTTCACAAGTCCCGCACCGGCGCCCAACACCAAACCGTAACTGTTGCATTTTGTAAAAGTAAATAGCATGAGTTTACGACAACATAACAAGAAAGGGGATTGAACTTGTTGTATTTTTAACAAAGTTGTTTATTTCTCCTTTTCTTGTATTGACAACCAGAAATAATGTGACATATAACACGGTTGTTCTGCAATCGATATTGAACTATTTTTAGTTTAATTGATTACAAAGAAAATTCAATTTTATAAAGAAATAATTCATTTATTTTATAATCAATTTTCTGATGATTCTAAAAGGTTCTTTCAAAAGCTTCTGTGACGATTCGTTTACTCAGAAATTTCAAACAGAGTGAAAAACATTTGCTTTGATAATGAATGAGTCAATAAATGAATGTACATCAAAGATTATAAGTAAATTTAGAAGATTGAAGTAGAACTTCAATTCAAGTTGAAAGCTCTGACAACATTGGACAACGAAACAATTGTGATAGTAAAGTAATATCAATTATTATTCATGTTCAATTTGCTAAAGAATTTCTTAAGAATTTTTTAAATAAGATCTTGTGTTCAGGAAAGAATTCTTTGAATTTTTTGACTTGAAATTCTTTACAAATGCATTTGTAAATTGTCTGATATGCTTGTTATACAAGTCAAGTCATTTTTTACCATTTTTTCCAAATGCATTATATATTTTCTCGTTGGTATTTTAAAATTTTTGAATGTCCAAGCTTTCACCATGACTGAAAAATTCTAAAAGAATAATTTTTCACCATAATTAATGGATATCCTTAACCAATAAAATCCATCAAGTTCTCCAATATTAGCAACGTTTTTAAAATATTATTATGTTTAAAATAAAAGCTTTCGTTGATTAATGATGTTTAATAATTCATTTATGATGTAAAAAACGTGATACATCTCATGTATGCTATAAATACTTGAAAGTTAAAGTGTTCACAATGAAATTTATGCATAAAATAAATGATGACATTGTTGAGAATGACATAGTTAAAGAATGAAAACTACTTCATTTAATTCTAATAAATTATAGTGTAATCTAATTATGCAATGTGGAGATTAATTATTTAAAAAATAGATGACAAAACAGAAATTATCTCATGCATATTAATGTCTAATATCATAGAGATTAATTTGTATATTATATAGTAAGATATGTAGATTGAAAAAGGGAAGCTAAAATTCTTGAAACGTTGCCAATATTGCAGTTTAATATTATTTTTATAAAAAATATAGCCAAAACCGATATAGAAGATATTTTTAAAACTTCACACGAAGGCTATATTAAAAATATATTCAATTTTTAAAAAATATTCTTAATCCCATTAAATACCTGACAAGACTCAACTTCATTTTAGAGAATTTTTTTTTCAACAATGTAAAATGCTATTACAATTGAATCTAATAATCCCAAATTGATTTTTGAATATAAAATGTGGTTATTGAAATTTGATAACAATTAGCATATATTTTTGAAATAATTATTTTCAGATAAATAGATTTAGATCACCAAGCAAATGTTTTTTACATCAATTTTAAAATATTTCCTGGTAAAATAAATTTTACTCCAGCAATTGAATAAAATCCAAGTGAATTGGAAAATGTAATCGAAATCGAATTAGTTTTATTACAAAGACCACACTATTGTACTCCAAAAAAAAGATCTTGTCAAAGTGATTGAAAAATTGTAAAATTCAATAAACGAAAAAAAGTAATTTTTTTCAGCTCTCCAGAACAATTTACTGATTAAATAAATTTAAGTTTAATAGCTGAAGTAAGTCGTTTGGAGAATGCTGTGACATCGTATTCGATAAAGGGTAGGAAGTTGAAAAGTCCTCTTGCTATATCTAATCCATCTATCTTTAGACCTACTAATCTCATCGTTATTAAAATCCCTGCATACCTGAGTAGCACTTGATGCATCTGAAGAGCAAAAGAAGTAAAGAGAGATGCTAGAGCCAGAACAAAGCCACCAATGACGGCAGTAAGCCTTGTACTTCCTCGACGACAAGCACCAACAACCAGCGGTGCTGAGCCTCGTGATACAGCTGCGCTCAATGCACCAACCCATGCTAAAAATCGATTCAAATCAGTTATTCAACCGTAACACAATCATTAAATTGTCAAATATTTCAATAATTTTTGTTACTTTTTTTTCTATATACATATGATGAACAACTGTTATCATGAACAGGTCAAGAGTCATTTGGACAATTATAATTTTGACTTTCCAATTTGAGTTATTCACCATTTATCATTTAGGATATTAAATGAAAGCCAATAAGTCTACAATAATTAATTTTAACCAACATTCTAATTATAATTTTAATCATATTAATGCAAAATTTGACTCCATTCATAATCACTCTTTTCATTCTGTCTAGGTAACTTTCTAATTATAATTGATTTTGATGAATATCCATTGAATTGTTGAGATTTATGAGTTAAGATTGATTGAATTATTATCCCAATCAGTTGATCTATTTTAGTTGCTTTTAAACTGGAAACAATCAAATGTAAACATAACAAAAAAGTTTGTTTATAATTTCATGAATGAATATTAATGAACAAATTATAATTCTGAATTTCTTGAAGAAATAGTTGTTTATGAAATGCAAATTTAGTTTTTATTAAAATATAAATTGTTTTTCAAATACAATAAGAGTTTAAGGACTATTCAGAACTCAAGAGCATCTAGATCTGCGTTAGATATTGTATTGGATATTCATTCCACTAGTAGTTTCAACTTGTAATCTGTTGGATGCAGCACTACAGAGTTAACTGGTCTGAACGGAATTGTTACTGTCACAAATTTTCTGATTCAATAAATACAGATTTGCAGATAAATCGCTTATCATTTACAAATAGTAAAATTATGTCTCAATCTATTGAGAAGGATATTTTACACTCTAATAAATTTGATTTAAAATGAGACTTTTTCTATTAACTATTATCAGTCCAGAATCATTTGGAAAAAAATTTTTATGATTTTAATCAACAAGAAATCAAACAAATGAAAATTGAGCATTTTATCTAAACAATATATGTCAGTGTTTTTCTGCTTTATTGCAACATGAAAATGCAATGACCGTATATTTCCATAGACACAATTACAGCTTGATCGAGTGATAAAAATTAAAAAAAAATTAAAATCCCTATTGGAAAAATATTTACATGAATAATATTCAAATAAAATTATCAGATATATTTATTCGTAATAAAGAAATAAAATCCAACAGAAAATTTTTGTGATTCTGTGATCGAATATTTTATGATCGCTATCAACAATTCACATGTTGATTGTTTTATTTAATTTACAAGAGTATTCAAGTTGATAACTTTTAATTAAAATGGCGACTCATTTATTTACTGATCAGGAAACATCTCGTCTGTTAAATATATTCCAGTAGTCAGTGGAACAAATTCTCCGGATGAATAAAAAGAATATCGAGAATCGGTTAAAATTCAAAGTTTAGGTCATTTGTTTTTTAGACTCAATATGAAAAACCTGCAGAATTTCAAGTCAAAATTACCGATTATTTGTGGTAAGCCACAAATTATCGAATTTTGGCTCTCGGTTGGATACAACAAAAACTGAATTCCAAGTGACCCGCAAAAAATAAGTTTTCGCGCTGCTGGACGTGATAGGTGGTCAGCAGGTTTATTGATGTAAATATGCAAGTAATCCGCATTATATACTTTGGACAAAAAATATATTTTACATAATTAAAGCAAACATGTTAGCGTAATATATTATTTAAGTAGAAAATCAATGACAAGAGCTAGTATATAGGAAGTGAAGAAGTGGTCATGAATATTTATCAACCTCGCCTGGCTGTATTCTAACTTGAAAAGATGAGATTTCCCCACGCCAATATATTTCAACAGGTAGAATAGATCGGAAAAATACTGTTGAAAAATAAATGCCAATGTTTTGAAGCTGCTATTTTCAATGCATTAAACTAGAGACTCTCGTTCAATTCTCTAACTCTTATTCAGTTGGACTAGATTCTCTAGATGAGGGTTTATTGAGTCAAGGCTGAACACTAGAGAGATTCCTTAGTTTTAAATGTTGAGAGACACTTGTTGCCATCTTCACCAAAGAATAAAATTCTCAAGGTACTAAAGGTATTTTAATACACTACTACATTAAAAAGAAATTTTTATTATCCATCAAATTGTATGGAATAAAGAGATTTATTTCATTTGAAAACTATTCATTATTTACTTGCAGATTTAAGATAATTTTTTTTCATCAAATAAAAAAATCAGATAGCCTCTAAGTTGTATTTATCATGGAGTCAGTGATAAAGGTAAAATATAAAAGCTTCACTGTTTATTTTCTTTCGTGTGGTAGTAATTAATCGATTAATATTTATAAATTCATTGACGATGTATTTGAAGAGAAGCCATCGAGATGAAGGGAAAGACTATAGAAGTGTCTATTTACCTTTTATGAATATATAATTCTAAGATCTTTGAACGCATCTTTTGTGTATTCTGTATAAATCAACACTGAGCTCATTAAAATCAGCCAAGTCCTTTATGAGATAAATTTCCATCTACTATAAATTTATATGTCTTGTCTTAATGATCAAGATTTCCAATTTATTATCATAGAAATTGAAATCTAGAGAAGCAACAAAGACAGGATCAACTAAATACCAAATATCAACGTTCATTATTTCTTTCCAAAATAAATGGATCATTTTTTTCATCATTATAATTTACAAAAGAGAACAAATATTTATTATTTATTCATATTATTATTGCATTAATACAATAGCCACAGGCACTTTTATAAAAATCATTTTCCCAGAGAGAATATAATGTCTGATTTATGCTTGATATATACTACTGAAAAATACTTATTACTTTATTTCTAAAATCTATTAGTGCTCGCCGTATATTTTACCGTCTGATTCAATACCGAGATTATCTACTAAATGCTATAGTTTCAAGCTTTGTTATATTTTTTCAAGCTTTTTTTTTATTAATATAAAAATGTCAATGCTATAAGTATAGCGCTAAGAATGAGAAGCGAGCGGTCGTTGATAAATTGGAAAAGATAATAAAAGTGTTGAAAGAGAGAAGTAAAAAAAATAAAAGTGAGAAAGTTGGTGTGAGATACATCCATTGCTTTGTGTTCTTTGACAAAGTATTTTCTTTACGTTACTTTGACTCGATATCCTCCGATTTTCTCTATTTATCCACCTTCCTGAAAAGTTCAACGAGTAAGAAGGATATAAATACACGAAAATAAATGACGGTAGTGTGACGGGAAATATAATGGCTTTATTAATCAATTTTTATCAATAAAACTCGTGTGTGGTCTCTCACATATAAATATAATTATCGAGATTATTTTATTTATAGCTCATCCATGACATTGGCGTCATTTATGACGTAATGATAAATATATACGCAGGTTCCGCATTTATCAATGCAGCCTTTTATTATATGTACATATAAATCTACCCTTGAAACTTTGACCTTCAGGATTATTCATGCGAGTTAATTGATTATAAAGAGTTAATTTATCTTCAATAGTTCATTGTATGGTATTTGGATGATATAAAAGCAAGAACCTTTCACTCTTACGTGTCTTTTACTTCCAGTCTTTTTACTTTATTCTTTTTTATTTTCTTTTTCTTCATCTTCCGGATTCTTTTAAGAGCAACCGGTAGCACTGGTCAAGAACATCAGGTCATGCGTTTATATATCACTTGATGGATCTCCAAAGCTTTGACCTTTCCTTGACTTATTGTTATCAAGCACACTCTCATTCCTATTTGTTATCTACTTTACTTTGTGTGAGATCTAAATCCTCAGAAAATCCGTGAAATAATGAGAACAAAATTTTCTCGATACAAAAAATGTCTTTCGATTTTCTACAGAAAATAAATTGATGCTTATCTCACTCTTTAATAAGCTCACTTTTTCTTATCATTTCTCTTCTTTCGAATTCTCCATCCAAATTATTAACTAGATTTTAAAAGACTTTGAAGGATGGCTTTTAATTTTTTGTAATAAGAAATGAATGAATATTTATAGTTTCTCATTAGAAGGAAGAATAAGCCATGTTCTTTGTAACATTATTCGTGTTAATTGATATATAAGAGCTATAAGTTATCATGATGTGTCGAGTCAAGAAGAAAATTTTCACTATAATGTGATGCATATATTTCAGTCAACAAATAATTTTTATAAAATATGACTAATATTAACTTAGTGAAATAATTTATAATTCAAATTCAGTTTTCATTCTTATGTATTTATCTGTTGAATTACTGTGATAAATTAATTAATTAAATGAAAGAAGCTAACTTGATAATGATCTATCGCTGCGGTACATAAGTTAACTAAGAACTTTAAAATATAATTAATTGGAAAAACTTTAATATGATTATGTAAATGGTTGTTAATTAATTTAGAGCCTATGAATTGAAAGTTCAATTTTAGATGATGCAAAAAGTGATGAAATTAAATTCATCTAATAATCTAATCAATAATTTAGCTAGATTCATTTAATTATGTTCCGGTAATTAAATGTGATATAATTTAAATTTATTCAATATTGTAAAGTTATAGATGATTTATATTATATCTATGTAGAACAAATAATTGTACTGAGTTAGTCAATCATTCAATGCATCATGACTAATTAATATATACCACAAAACAAACCTCATTAGACAAAGCCATCAAGAGCAATAGTTCTCGTCATGTATCACTTGGAGATTCGCATGGAATAACAATGGAAATTCGAGAGAGAAACGTTTCTAGTCATCCACTTCACATCATTTTAGCATCAGTAGTTTGTTCACAGCTGACTTTTGAGGACACCATGCAATCCAGAAGTGCTTTCGCGTCACCTCAGGCGAGAATTAGTGCAATGCTTGTCTCTGTCATTAGACCAACTGCATAATAAATACTTCCGTCGTTCATATCGCGCTTCTCACTTCATATATATATATATATATATATATATATATATATATATATAACACCGATGCTGGAGGGTGTCATAAGGCAGATTGCACTCTTGTCGTGTGCTTCCTGACATTCTATTTAGGAAGAATTTTTTTTCTCATCTTTCTTATTGGCAATATTCAAATGCTGTCAGACTTGAGACTACAATACTTCTTTCCCATTGTTTAGATGTTTTTTTTTTTACAACGACTGTAATAATTAAATTACATATTTTTTTAAAATAATAATTATAGAAATCCAAAACTACAAATTTCTATTAATGATAAAAAGAATTAAATTCCAACGAATAATGTTCTTTGTATTCATTTTTAATAATACTTAATTAAAAAATTCTTCGTATTTATTAATATAATACTAGAAAGATATAAAACCATTATTAAATTTTCTCAACAGAACAGGAAATGTTCATAATGAGTACCAAAACTAAAACTTCAATTTCAATTATATTTTCACACTATAAAATTACTTAAATTATTAAACCCTATTTTTCTTCATTTCATTCTAAAAATTACTTGACTTTACCGAGTACTGAATTATTAATTAAGTTTCAGAGTACACGCAAACAAATTGAATTTTTAACTCAATCAAGAAACCTGTACTAAATTCATTAGGATGAAATTAAATTTTTCATATAAAATTCATCAAATCTTTTCAAATAACTTCAATATGGTTCAATCAATGAAGCAGTAGCCTCGATCAATTTAAGAACATGAAACAAATTGATTAACCCATAGGCAGACAAAATCGATTAACCAGTCCTTTCAACATCATCAAAATGCTGGACATGTGAAGATAATGTTCAGTATGACCCTTCAAAATTAGTCAACTTTAGCCAGAGTTTGTGCATTATTTAGAGCTGCTGTGTTCATTCAAAATTGAATCTCCCATTCTTTTTAGACATATTCAACGGAAATATAATAAAACTGATATCGTTTTTTTCATATTCACAAAAGCAAACTCATAGATTTGATCAAAGAACTAAAATAAAAATTTTTGCATCAAACTTAATGCTATTTCTTCACGACTTCAGACTTTGATTTCATTGTAGCTAAAAATATCATTTTGTTAAAGTTCATGAATATTTGAAATAATTAACGATCAACAGTGTATCACTGAGATAATATGATATGGACCGCATCGTTTGTAGAGTACGGTGTGAATATTAACGAGCGGTCTACCATTATCTTTGAGTATGAAATTCACTCGAGCAGAAGGTCCTCTGGCTACTGCCAACGATAGAGAACTTGTGACTATCTCTGATTTTAACATGCCCTAAGGATGTTACTATCATATTATCTGCATTCTCAGAAAATTAAAGTAGTCATTATGTTAATAAGCTTGAACTATAAAGTAACTTAACTACAGGTCAATTTTCTGTTTGCCTTTTTATTTTACACTCATTACAGTCCCATTTTAACTCAAAAGAATATCAGATGCACTTTATTATATTTATTAAAATGTAAAAATCAAAGATAATGTCAGATTAAAATCTTTTATATGAATACATTAATATCGACACCCCAAAAATACTGTAATTTTCTAGTAATTCCAGATAAGCTGCTTATATGAATCCATTAACAGGAGAGACTTTTGGAAATTTCATCAGCTTTTTGAGTCTTTTCATAAGTTATTAATGTTCAAGTAATTACTCTCAATCGATAAGTTTTCATTCAAGTATTATCGAATCGGTAAAAAAAATCAATTTGACCTTAATAATGGGAACAATATAGGTAGGAAGTTAATGGAGAATATTTGGATTTACCTATGTCTGTCAAATGAGGGCTACCAGCTAAATGTTTAACAGCTTGAAGATGTAAGAGTCCAAAAGCAAGCTGCATGCCTGTGGTGAGCAACAGGGCGAGAAAACCGGCCGCACACACTAACCATCCCCAGCCACCTTCAGGATAAAAATGTGATCGCATACCTGCTACATCTAAACCTAAAAAATAAAAAATGGATTAATAAAATTGCAATTTGTAGTTTCATTATGAAAAAAAAACATTTCGATTTTAAAGAGTAAATTAGGATAGAATGGTACTCAAAGAAGTACTTGAAACTTTTAAAATATACTAAGACTTTGCTTGTACAGAAAATGAGATCCTTATTACTTTTACTCTAGGTGCTGCAATTACCTTTCCGCATGCTAAATTTTTTTTATAATTTTAATTAACACTTGTAAATTACCACACAGTGACAAGATTTTTTTAGCAATTAAAATTTATTAAATATAAATCTTGAAAAGATATTATGTAAGTTATGACTGTCCAATTATATATAGTTTTTTCTCCTTTTTGAATTAATGTATGATAAATCTTATTTTTAGTATGATGAATAATGACTCTTGAGAGTTTTTTCTTCAAAAAAATAATATGTAAATAATTTTTCAAAATAAATATTTATAAACATCACGTTATTTTTATTTAATGGGTGATCAAAATCCTTTTTATATGTTATATGTAAAAGATGCGACTTTCATCCCTACTGAATAAAACAAACATCAGGGTGAGATAAATTTGAAATAAAACGATGATAAACTATAGCTGATAGGCTGATAACCTGAATAAGAATGTAGGCCAAGTTTAGTAATGTATGAAATAATCAAAAGAATAGAAAATACTTTCAAAAGGAAAACAAATAAATAATAATTATTAACATTATGCTTTTTTGTTCCAAAAAATAATACCAACGATTAAAAATATAAATCAAGTTTTAATTAATCACCCAGTAATGATTCAATATTTCCCCTAAATAAATATTAAAATAATTAATGCACGCGATTTCAATTTTTATAACCACATACATGAAATTTATGGAAGCTTTGATTGAAAAAATTCCAATTAAAATAAAAGCATATTTTTGTATTTAATCAAGGCATAAATAATAAGCGCCTTCTCATGAATATTATTCTCTGTTATTTAATCAGATTATGTGTAGTATAAATTATTGAAAAAATTTCGAGATTCGTAAAAAAAAAACATCAAAACCATTACTTAGAAACAACTTTAAAGAGTTAAGTAGAGAGAAGGTTAAAATGTGCAGTTGGCTTATCTCATCACATAAAGACCAGAGGCTAGATGTTGGTAGAACATTAGATAAAAGCAAAGTGCAATTCTCGAAAGTTCAAAGATTAATATTCAATTGGAGTCAGTGTGCTTAATGAAAACTTTAATGATAAATCATAGGAAATGAGCAATTCCACCAAGACTATATCTTTTATTAAAAGTAAAGTGCATTGGCTTACAAGACATGTTGATCAGCAAATGACAAAATGAAAAATAAAGTGTGAGCTCATTAATAATAAAATTAATCAGTAAAATATTTACACAATTATTGGTTAAAAGCATGTAGGTTATGGTGAGAAATAATACTAAAATAATAATAAATGAATATATGATGATTATATGATCATGTATGTTGTTAAACATTTTTATGCTCGTGTTACATTACCAAGCTTTTTAATATTAATCACGTTTGCATTTGGATAAATAACAAGTTATCAGAATGACGGTACATGAATGCAAATCAATAGGTTTGGTTTTGCATCTCACGTAGTGGAATGAGAGCGAATTATGTGAAAGAGAGAAAAAGAGAGAGATAGAAAATGAAACGCACATAGAGAAATTGAAGCATTCATCGCTTCACCTAGTACATATTTCGTATTCACCTGTTCGACGCAGAGCTGGCACACAACGATGTAGACTGCGGAGATCACCAAGAACCCAATTTGTATTTCCACCTAGGTTTTCGTCCATATCCATGCAACGTATACGAGGATCTGAAATAAAAAAAATTGTAGAATTTCAATTATATTTATACGATTTTTTCTATTTTATTTTTCAAGCACTGTTGCATGTATTTTTAGCTTCAATTTTATTATCTATTGATATTGATATGGCAAATATTTGAATAATTTCCATCAAGTTAAAAATATTAGTTATTCACATATGTTTGAAGAATGAAGATGATTAATAGATAAAAAAAATCACCTAGTTTATCTCTTTAAACTTGGGAAAGCCCCAACTTAATGCAAAGTTATGATGAAGGTATGAATAAAATATGAATTGTTTTTTTTTTGGCAGGATCTAGGATAATACCATCAAAAAATAAATGGTTATTGTGTCTACAAAAAAATAACAATAATAAATATAAGTATAAATTTGAAAGTAGGGCCACACTGCAATGTGTAGTTTAACGTTTCTATTGCTCAAGAGAACGTAAGTAGTTTGGAAAAGTTTTTTCTTTAACTAACTAAATTTCTTACCTGGTTAAACTTCACAAAAGAAAATAGCGTTGGAAAAATTGGAAAATCCAATTCGCTAACTTTAATTTGAATGAAAAAAACAGACATCATAAACTAGTATAATTCAACATATTTTCAGTAAATCTATTGTTATATTATTTCTCTCACTATTCACTTTAATCAAGCAGAAAATTGAATATATTCAAAGGCATAAATTTGAGGATTCATTTCATAGTATTCTTAATTAGCAAGATAGCAATAGAAATGAAGTTTCTGATTAGCTTATGCTGGTCTCCATCGCATTGAATATATTGTTTGGAGTTGTTTCATTAGGAAAGCTTAAGCAAGACATATATACTGAGGACTGAAAATTTAGACCGTGTAGTCTGCATGGTATGTACACAGATGCATTAACGTCTAATTACCAGAGTAGTTGGACTAATCCGTTTAACTAGTCCAAAGTACTGAAGTGTGAACTATGTATAAACTACAATAACAGGTTATTTCTAAAGTTATTTTATTCAATCATTGACAGTTCAACAACTCGAAGCAAATATTACTAATCATACTCAAAAAAAATTTATTCTATTCATTAGCTTTCAGATTTATTCCAGCATGTGAATTTGCTATATGTCTGTCTTACATATGTGTGCTGCTTTCTAGACAATAAATCACTGATGGATCTAAAATATTAGATTGAGACCTGAATCAATATTTTTGACTCTTAAACATCTCTTTTATTTATTTTTCTTCCATTACATTTGTAGAATCTCACAATTCCTCTCGTCTTCCTTTAAATCACGTCTTGGTACATCACTGCTCTCAAAACTAGTCGTGCGTAATGCGAGACGGCTTCCATTCTTCTTCAAAGCAATACCCATTGCAGCTTCTTTGCCGCACGTGTGATAGCTTTGAGTACCTTCGTTTATTGACTTGATGGAAAGGAAAAAGGTCTTTTCATGGATAAAGCTATCAAATGTTGTCATTAATCAAAAAAAGTATATTTTAGAATAAAGTAAAATTAGCCAATATTTGAAAATAAATTAAGGTAGAAAATATTTTTCATCATCTGCCACTTGCAAGCGTTTGAAAATTAATTTCATTTCTCTAAGTTGATAATACGTTTTTAATAAAAACATCTCAAGTATTTAATATAGAAGTTTCTCTCTTTCGTCGAATAATTCTCAGTAAAATAAACTTCTTGTTATATTTTTTTCAATTTAAAACAATTATTTAACTCGTTAAAGAGACTGTAATAAAGTGAGAATTTGTTAAAGACACTCATGTGATCATCTTGCTCTTTGGTATAACATTTCTTGATAAAAAATATCTTTAAAATAACGTGAAGATGTAGCAAATGATTTAAGTGAGCATGAATAAAGGTGTAGTTACTCTCGACTTTGCCATATACCTTCTATATTTTCTCATTATACGAAAGGATGTTGGAGAATCCATTTAAAAACAACGAGAAGCTCATCTACTTTTCTTTACCTCGGTTCAAATTTATGTATATATAAAAGTACCCATACTATATTTTCTAGTAGCTATTTTAAGTCTTTTCCCTTACAAATTCAAAATATATTATGCTAACGATGAAAGTTTTATTTTCAATTCTGTTTCAAATGTAAAATAATAGTACCTCTGTTGCTTTGAACATCTCTTTTAATACTTGTAAGTCAAAGTTAAGATATATAAAATTATTCATGTACAAAAAATGCTGAATTAATCCACTTTGATTGAGGTAAATGTAGCCATGGGAAATAAATCAAGTCTATTTGATTCTAATATGAGCATCATACAACTATTACGTTCATAAAGCAACATAAATTCTCAGGTGAAGTATTAAATGATTGAAACAGTTATATGCATTTCGTGTTGCCATATACTATGAGTAAATTAGCGTATAAACGTAAACATGCTGCAGCAAAGGCCACGATGTAAATAGATAATCCTCGTTAATGTACGGTCGGTCAACCACGATAAAATGTTATATGTATTTATAGAATTGCACAAATAAATAATATTATAAAAAATGACACAGTAACTCAGGAGCACTTTGAAAAGTACATCATAATTAAATTTAACATTAATTAAAAGTCACATTCAATGATAAAAAAAATTATTAAGTAATAATTTAACAGGAATGAATGAAGAGTTTGACAACTATTGGTAATAGAATTTTTCTAATTCAGTCAAGTCAAATTAATTAACAAAATGTTTTCATCACCTCTGATACAATATTTTTTAATTACTAGCACAAAAAGACCTTAATGTTATTATTGAGAAGAGACGGACCTTCGATTTTCTAATGATTTGATAAGCTACCACCAAATCAATAATAATTTCCTTCAATAAAAGTAAAAAGGTCAGAAAATTAACTTAAAATTTAATCTAATATTTTCTCGATGAAATGCAGTTAATGTAATAATGATCTTGTAATGAAAAGTACTTTTGAAGCAGTTTTATAAATTTTAAGGGTTGTGTCGTTATTTGAATTTTTTATTTAAATGAATGACTACCATTTGTAATTAGATTTTGACTATAAAAAAAATTGCCAGTACATTTTATTCTTATTGTGAGCTTTTGAATCGAAAAATATAAAATGAGAATAGTTAAAAAATAAAGTACTGGTGTAAAAATAATAGTTGGAAGCTTTAAAAAAAAATCGAAGTAAACAGAAAAATAAAAATAAAATGGTTGATAAGAGAAGAAATGAGCTCTCATATTTTTCGTAATATCTGTAAAAATATTTCGAGTCAATAAACAGAATGGACCATTTGAAATATTTTATAAAGTCTGTAATTTCTCCATTTTTTTAACTGTATCTTTGGAAAAAAATATTCTAACTTATCTCAAAAATTCTTCGAATCAATCCTTTCAATTTCCAAGCGTAAAGTTCTCTAAACTAGTACAGTTGTTGATGGAATCGAAGAAAATTATTCTGTAATATACTGTTAGCATTTCTCTTGAAAAACACATAAACGAATGTAACGAGAGCACTATAAAGATAGTGAAACATTTTTTTTTTATGCTTGAAAAATAAATGTCAATAAAATACATTTTCCTTACCTCCATGAAAGGAGTTGCAACGATGAGGCGTGTATGTACCATTTTGTCCTTCCATACAGTGACTCGGAGTATAATAATGTATAGGGGTGTGTGGAGTACAGTGGCTTGGGGTAGTTATGTGTATCGGATGACAGTGTAAACATCGCCTGGGTGTCTCTGGTATCTAAAAAACAACGATTTTTTGTTAAAAAAAAAGAAATAAATAGAATAAAAATAAACTAGAAAGGAGAATAATGGAAGTTGATATTACGATGAAAATTTTACCGAAATAGACAAGAATAATGAGAAAATAATAGACGGAAATTATTTATTACCATTTAAGTAGGCATGGTGGAAAGTGATGAGTAAAGTAAAAAGTTACGAAAAATTTAATATTAAAGAAAGTATCCTTTTATAGATTAAAAGTTTCACAAGTATATCAGGTTAAAGGACCGAGAAATTATAAAGTAGGCAAAGATGAAGTATCATGCTTGGACTTTTTTGAATGCTTGAAGTCATTATGGCCATTTTAATAAACACTTAAACTTTTGACAAAAAGATATTTAAGATCAACGTTTGATTGAACTCTTTTTGTGTCCCAAAAAGGTAATGACTTTTGAATTTAATTGAAAAATATTTTTTTAAATAACAACACGTTATCAAAGCTATCAAAAATACTATTCTACATATATATATATATATAGAAGGTAACCAAATTTAAAGTTGAAAATATTTTAACGTTTAAATAGAATTTTTATATTTGCAGAAAAAATAATATCTGTATTACTAATCGAATGAAAAAAAATATTAGGTATTTTTGAAACAAATATTATAGAATAGAGCTTGAATTAGAGCTTTTCATATTAATACTCAAAGGCTAATCGAATTAACTCTTAATGAAGAAATAGATGATTCAATTAAACATGAAACATAATTACGATTGCTAATCTAATAATAATTGCTGTTGTAATACTCAACGTAATTATTCATATTAATTTTATAAATTTATTCATCCATTATGATTATATTATAAAAAGCAATATTGATCCGAAACAATAGGAATATTTGAAGACGTGGTTTGAAAATTATTTCAAAATGGTTTCCAATATTCTCTTAAATGTCAAATTGAATTACAGACAGTAGTCAATATTTTTCTCTTCCAATTAACCCCATCGCTTTCAAATACCTACTCTCCACAACATCCGTGAAAACATTTGATGAATTAGGAATTTTTTTATACAACTGAGAATACAATAGAGAATCTAAAAAAAATCAAATCAATTCTTGCAAAAAATAGAGTCCATTTTTTTCTGACACATTTAAAATATATTTTCCATCAGAAAAAAAAATTCTATAGAATATCGATGAAAGCAAAGAGAATAAATTGAATAAAATAAATGTACTATTACAGATAAGAATGAAAGATAATAAAAATCAGGTGTCAATGGGTAAATTGGTAATTAATAGAATTAGAGTAAATTACCTGAGAATGTTGAGATCGAAGAGAGCGAATTGATCCCGTGGGGTGAAGAGAGGGTACACTGCCACTAAAGCTCATAGCAGAATTTCTACAACCACCAGCGGGTGTCGACCAACCACCTCGTACCCCCGGTGGACCACCCCACCCTACATTTGTTCCCCCACACTCGTCTAACATCTTCACTGCCTTAAGTGCGACATTAGAACTACTTTATTACTTCCGTAATGATTTTTCTTTACTACCCACATTCGTTTGCTAATCGAATACCGTAAAAATCTTTGAACGTTGTACTTTCTCCATTTTCTTTTCTTCTCGATCATCTTCATTCACTTTATGACTTACAGTGCTTTATTATCACTGCATTCTCGTTTGCAGTTGATTAAATTTTTCTACTTCGTTTTTGATTCATTCAATCACGAATTCTGCTTTCCTCTGCATCATTTAACGTCGACAGCTGCAATAAAAAAAAGAAAAAATATTTTAGTCTGCTTAATAGAAAAACGATAGATTTCAATGTGTATGCAATATTTTATAAAATATCGAGGTTGAATTCATTCTGATGGTAAATATTATCACTTATAGTATATTTGAATTATTCAGTAGACATTTATCAATTATTGATTTATTAAGTGTATTGTACAACATTATTAATTCATCTCAATATAAAAATGTTAATAATATACGAAATAACGTGCAATATGGTTTTGTAACTATTAGAAACTTTTCAATTGAGTGAAGTTGAATGAAAAAATATTTAAAATATTTTTCCAGTATTTTACACTTCATTCTTGTTAATTTGAATAACCACATACTTTAAAAAAAATCTAGAATTTTTTTTGTGAGCTTAAAAAAAATTAAAACTATCACAGTAGCAGACTTTTGATCTGTCATAGTTTCAGAATATTTTTTTTAACATTTAAATGTAAAAAAATAAATCTTTTCTTTAATGGTAAAAGTCAGTGTGCTCATACATCATAGTGAATTGGATGACACGTCAAATTTTCTCTATTTTCTTTTTTTTCCTTGTTAAAAGTTAGTTTAAACATGACACTGTAAGCTTTGGACATTTGTTGGCAAAAGTTGTACACCATCGAATACTTAATATGTATGAAGCATCCAACAGAAACGAAATCAAGCAGAACTACTAGTGTCAGGAAGCGTAAAGAGATTTATCTCCAAGCATTATATGATACTTTTTCATAATTCTGCTGTGACTTGCGATATTTTTTACCTCGCTATCGTTTCGAGAGATTGATTTTTTTTATTATTATAACCTCTAAAATATCCAGAATATCCCTCATTTCTTATTTCTGCATTGAATAAATGAATCATTACACACTATCGACAGAAATTTAATTCTCGGAAATTCAGTGATAAGCAAAAAACTTGCACAATTATGTAAATACTTACTTTCAATTTAGATTCATTCATTAAAAATGCTATCCATTTTGAGGGAAGATAAATGATTGGAGTAAAAAATTCTTGAATGATAATTGTTGCTACACTTTGATTGATGGTTCAGTTTCTGAAGCACTTGGTCTATAGTTTGTCCATGAATTGATAGTAATACATTTTCCTGTTGATTTAAGCCCTTCTATTCATACCAACTGCTTCAATTTTGGCTGTACTGCTAAATAACTCTATTCAAGAGAGTCTGAACAAAATAATCCCCAAATACAAAAGCTCACCATAAAAATAATAACCCCTAAAAAAAACTTGCTCTGAGATTAGGTTTTTAAAAAGTTATTTGTATGTTTTTCATTTTGGAAAGAGATTGTTTCATAAAAGTACCTAATTTTCCCCCAGGTATTGATTTTCTAAAATGTCTGAATAACTTTGTGATGTTTCTAGATAGTGTAAAACTCTATAAGAGGATTGATGGGTAAAAAGTAATGTTTCAAGAGTTTTAATAGAGAATCCCAAGATCTGCCAGATCAAGAACTTTCACCAACCTGTCTAGATTCCAAGACCATTTATTTAACTAAGAAAAATTTTCAAAGTCATTTTTCATGTTTTTACCAGAAAAATTTCTTCTGTTAAATATCTTTAATATCTATTTCGTGATAATTTATTCTTGAAAAGTTATTGGAGCAATTTTCACTGAAACTTTTATTTGAAAAAAATATCTTTGATAACATTCAATAAAATAAACAAAAATAATCTCAACTATTGTTGGAATTTTTTTAGAAAGTTTGTTTAGAAACAATTAATGTTTCTAATTTTGCAAACTTCATCATTGTTTAAAAAAAAATAGATAAATAAAACTATCTTTAATACATAAAAGGTATAAATAATCTGATCAACGTGGCGTCTAAGCTCGGGCAATATCAGGATTTTCTCCTTTAGCCTGTAAACCCACCGGATATGAAGTTGTGGAAGAGAAAAGGATTCTATATGCGCCCTTCAAAAGCAGTAGTTTCATCGTAGGGATAGAAAGGGTCAAGAAAAATAAGTCGAGGCGTAGGTACTAAAAGACGCATCATCGATAATCCTTCTAGATTAAATCCACCTACGATGCAGACTATATTGAGCAGAAAAAAGCTCAATTCTTTTTAAAATATTCTTTCCACTTGAATTTTTTGTTGAAATCATTCTCATCTATTGCCATAAATAAACACATTAGATCTTCAAAATGTTAGCAAGTAAATAAATTTCATGGTATAATATAATTCCAACAATTTCGTTTATATTTTTATAACATAACAGTAAAACTTTCTTCTAGAATTATTATGAGACTATCAGTATGCAATGAAAAAAATTTCCTTAGATAAAATATTTCATTGAAATATGTCACGTTCTTGTAATATCGAATCACGTTTTGCTGAAATAAAGTTAAATATTACAGAAAAGCTAGTAATTTGAGTAAATAACAAGATAAGCATAGGAATAAAAAAGATGAAAAATTGTTATATTATAAATAATACCTCAAATGTGTCTATTAATTTTGTAAAAGAAGTTCATAGTCTAATGAACTTGAGCTGTTTTTACCACCGGTTGAATAATTGTTTGTTCATAAAAATTTTGCCACAAAGAATATTATGTGCGGGACACTTTCAAGCTATAAAACCAATGGCTTCACCGGAAATAAACCATTTTCAAAGCAGCAGTATATATCCACTAGATATATTCAACGGAAATAACTTTGACAACTGGTTTATAAAAAAAGAAGAAGATACGATATAGAACAAAACGAGGTCTCGTCATCGTTAAAGTTTTGTATGAGCTTTTTTTCTAACTGTCGTTCTATTGATTCACCTTGCAATCATCCGAGCAATCCGCTTTTTTCAAGCATATCCTGTCTCGTGATTCATCTGTTGATGAACAAATGAAGGTGGATATAAAATTGCAAATCCCATTCTTAATTCATGCTTTTAATTCTTCTTAAAATCTCATCTAAATGTCTCATGTGTTTTCCTGAATTTTTTCTTCAACAAAAAGCCATCTGCCTTTGTCTCGTTTCAATGAAAGAGTGACTAATTCATGCTTCTTTGGTCAAAAGAAAGAAAAATTGATTTTTTTCCACAAGAAAATAAGGGGATGCGTGAGATTATTGACTCCCCTCTTATATAAATTAATAGCAATTTATGTAGTAAAAGATGTATTAATGTTTCTTTTCAGTATAATTCCAACTTTGTAAAACTTTTCTCCGTTCATTTTGCTCCAATAATCATCGATGAGATTTCTGCTTCTTATGTCACTGGTTATAATATATAATACACTACGATATAAGCGTTAAAACTTTTGTTCTTGTCTAAGCTATCGAAAAGCCTTGTGGAATATCGATTTGTGAGATAAATGTTGAGAAAAAGTTTTTCTCGACTTCTTTTTTTTTCGATATCCATAAAAGCTATATTCAAACTATATTATTTCACTTCAGAAACATATATTAACCCTTGGTTTAATTTCAGAAAATAATCCAATAAAAAATATATTTGCGACATTTGTAATTTCGTTTCTCCTAAATTTCACAAATTCTTATAAAGAAGGCCATTTATTCCTATCGACAAACATCAGAGAAAAAATAAACTACCCTAATTTTTATTCATAAAAACATTTAGATAAAAAAAAACAAAAATTATAGTATTAAAAATAGAATTTGTTTTCCTTGAAGTACTTTGATTGAGATTGATTTTTTCTTAACATTTTTTTTGCTATATAAGAATTAAAGATCATTAAAAAATAATACGTTTGTTTCAATAATCTTTCATTCTAATTTTAACGTACTCTTTTATGGAATAGGCATTAATTTGTTTATGTTTTTCGAAGTAATTAAAGACAAATTAATTAATATACAAAAAGCTAGTGTGTATATTTAATAAAAAATATTATTTATATTTCAACAGGCCCTGGATCTTTTTTTTGATATAGCCCGAAGTGATCGAAATACCTTAAGCAAAGAACTATGTGAATAATTTTTTTCAATTAAAGAAATCATAATAAACTTTTGCAAAATTGAAGATCAAAGTGGGAAGAAATTTGCGAATAAAAGATTTCTGATCTAATTTTGGAATAAAATAAAAATTTTTTTTTCTTCTAAAACTTCTTTTCATAAAGACTTTCTGTTCAATACCCGCGATATGATTCTTCTAAGATCAAATGTAAAGAAGATAATGTAGAAATTCCGGTATGAGCTTTTTGAATGAAGGTGTATTATTGATTTCATCTCACACAAGTCTCCCTACTCCAGCCCTACGCTCCTTTCTGTATACCTTCAGTATTTCCCCGTCACCTCCACCTCTCTGCTTTCTCTATTCTCTTGCTCTCTGCATCCATGTTCTATTCCCTCGCTGTTGCTCGGGCTGCCAGCAGCCGGGAAACCCCGGGACCTATTGCTCTATATATGTCTAAACTCTTGGTCCAACTCAACCGCTGTTGCGCACTTGAAAAACTAAATTAAACGGTAGAACATCATGTTGAAAACTAATCTATTCATTTACTGATATAAATTAACATTCAAAAGCTTTCGTCACAACTTTCAATCTGATCTTTTGATTTTTACTGATAAATCTCGAAATCGATTTGAAAATCTAGAAACTCGTGTGGAAATCAGTTAATACCTCTCAACGATCAGTCATTCATGTGGCAACAGCGTGGAATGGATGTAACAGGTTATATCAAGAGATTTACACGTCTAGTGTACGATAAATCGATCGTGCTGCCTTCAAAATATGGAAAAAAGGTTTAAAAAAAAAAGTGTTATAGGAACCTAGATAATCGCGGGAGTATAAACCGTGTTGAATGGTTTTGTTTTTCTCACCTACTTTTTATTTTGCTTTCTTCTTCTACTTTTATTGATCATTTTTATACCAATTTAAAACATCTCGTAATTATCCTGTGTTTTTTGCTCACTTTTTTACCCTTAATTACCTACATAGAACACAAATAAAAATCATTTTCAAGCAATAAAAATTTCTCACGTGTACAAGTTGCTTTCTTATAGTGCACTATAAATTT